GGAAAACCCGTTTCTTCTATTTCGCAGTAGACAGTACACCTGGTACACACTTCAATAAATCACACAGGCCGACACAGGTTTTGTGATTTGGTGTTTTTCATATTTTTGGCGTTGTAGGGACTAAATTAATTTTTGTCATATTTATTGTTTTAAAAATAAAACATTGCAAAATATTCCAAAACTTGAAATCGCTAGGCCGCAGGCATTTTGCATACAAATTGCATTTGTTGTAGGTAGTTATTAAGTTAAGTTAAGTTAAGTTAATAAGTAATACTATAATAGATAAAGATAAATTTATTCTTAATAAGAAATATGTTATATCAGAAAATAATTTAAAAAAAATTTTAATTTTGGAGATTAAAGATAGAGATTTCTTTTTCTGAAACTTAAAGAAGTATTTCATTTCTGGTTTACAAGACCAGTATTTTAATTAAATTATTTAAGTTAAAATTTAATGATAATTAATTATTATTTATTTAGAAGATTAATATTTATTATTGGTTTCTTATTTTTTATTTTAAAAAGAAATTATTGACTATTAATATTATTAATATTAGAGTTTTTAGTTATTTCTTTATATTTCAATATAGGATTGGTATTAAGATTTAATTTAGGAGATTATTTTTTTTAAATAATATTTTTAACAGTAAGTGTATGTGAAGGTGTAAGTGTATGTGAAATGTACTTTTTTCGGTACCTGTTGCTCGTTCTCTGGAACTGAAAGGATGATACGAAAATCTATGCTTGAGAAAATCAAATACAAGGACTATAGTTCGATGATTTGGGGACTTCTACTATTTCAGCAGTCAGGATATACGAAGCCCTCCCGTTTTTTGTGTAAGGTGAAATAGAACTGGTCAAAAAGAATTAAGTGTCTCTGTGGAAAACTCCCGCTCTCTCAGATTCAAAATTAATGGAAGAAATTTTTGTAAGTCCTCAATTAAGGCGATTAATAGAAGATCTTGATATTTTGATCCAATCCACAAAGGTTACATGGATTTCATGATAGAGAAAAATGTTTATCAGATTTATATTTAGAAAAAATGGTCTTCCTGTCTTATTAACATCTTCTTGCAATATCCTGCAATCGTTTACAGTCTCTATGTTTCTGTGTAGTTTCATATCTTTCAGAAGCGGCAAGTTATTTAAATGTTAAATACTTTGTTCTATGTCATTTTTAAACAATAAAAATAATGATGGCCTAATGTTGATCTTTGTGGCACTCCTAACGTAAGAAGATTGATTTCGAAAAATCGTCTGCTTCCACACTATGCGCTGCCCAGTCTACAAAGTCATTACGCAGCTTTGTATTTTTTTTTGTCCCATAGGAACGCTTTGTTTTTCAATGGTGCTCCTGCACACTATGGAACTTTCGCATGCACCCTGTATGAAGTGACTTTCACATCCCACCGAACTTCAAAGTTACGGTAATTATTAAAATTTTTGCAATTGATAGCCATTTTCACAGATTTTTTTTTCCAAATATTTCGCGCACCCCGTATGACAGACGAAACCTGAAACTTCCTCGATACAGTTTAGGACACTGTTACAATAAACGGTTTTTTATTAATCGCTAATAAATTAACCACAGAAGAGGAAATTTTTAGAATCATTTTCATTTTTTGCCCATAAACGACACACCTTGTATATAATTCAAACAATGTTCGAAATAAAGATTGGAAAAAATACTTGTTGTCTGAAACCATGCAGTACCTCGTAAATTCTGTGTGATTCTGATTTGGATTTTTTCACATATCTCGAACAGCGCATGTGATAGACGAAAGCTATAGCTCTTGATGCGGTGTACAATACCATTAAAACCAATTAACCATATTTTCTAGGAACGATTTACTCTGGAAAGAACAATTTTCAGAGTCTTTTAGATTTTTGCCTATAACGGAAAAAACCTGTACATAAGGCATTCTATTTAAAAAAAAAATTGTTGCTGGCATGTTGACAGCTTGCGATCGTCATTTGTTTTTTCTGAAACTTGCACAAGATAATAGAGCAAAAATCTTCAAACTTTCGTATTTACACTTTTTTGCTATCCTTCAAAATTAACCCTGTAGGTGGGTGTCAAAATATAATGAATAACCCTGTACAATAACCAAAATGCGGGGATATAATTTCACGCGTCACCTTTTCTTAAACCCGCATTCGTTCTTTCGTGGCCAGGGGGGTCTCGAGAACCGGGCCTAGCCATCATCATCATCTGCGAGCCCCCTGGAGACACAACGCGCCCCCCTCGGGCAACGCAAACGCGTCTAAAGCACCAAGAACTCGAGACGTATTTCCCATTGGAGGCCGAGGGCGACGCTCGTGGCGTCAGGACTCTTCCGAGAAGGACCAGGTTGATTGGAATGGATAATATTTGTTGTGCAGTTTGAAAAAAAGCAGTGGCGTGTAACGCGAAGGAAAGTTTCAAAGCCGGAATATGAAAGAAACAAAGTAGAGTAACAATTTTTTATTATTTTTAAATATAATCCCCCTTAACTTAAATACACATATTACACCTCTTTATTAATAACCCAATCCCTTTAAAAAAATATTCTTTTGGTTTGTCCGCAAAATGAACTAAAACATCCTCTTTTAACTCAACTTCGTCGTTAAACTGCCGTCCACGTAAGTTCTTTTTCAAATATCCAAACAAATAATAGTCGCTGGGAGCCATATCTGGACTATAGGGAGGATGATCTATCTGTTGGAAGCCGCACTCTAAAATGGCAGCTTGTGCAACATTATCGTGCAAACGACCGGCTCAGGTCAGTTTTCCTCGACGATTTAGACGTATGCAGTCTCGCAATTTATGTAATAATGTTGCGTAATATTTTCCATTGACCGTGGTATTAGTTTCTTTAAAATCTATCAAAAGAATTCCTTCATAATCCCAAAAGATCGTGGCCATTACCTTTTTTGTTGACTGGCAGACTCTGAATTTTCATGGAGGTGCTTCACCCTTCTTCTGTCAAAAACTTTACGACTGCTCTATACTCAATTTGCGTTATTTGCGACATTTTTTCGGACAGGTCTTGTTTAAAATGCTGTCAAAAAAACTATTTGACGCAAGACTTAATTTTTTTTCCGCAGCCTGCTAAGATATATATTTAAAAGACAAAGTTTTATCGTGATACTGGAGCTGCATCTATGTCAGGCCGGGAAATTTTGGCGCTAACCTCGTACATATGTGTTTAATGTGTTTAACCTTATGCCGGTTACAATGTAACACACTTTATATTTTAGCTCACCCGTTTTTGGCAAATCGGAAATAGGAAATAGGCGCAGGCGAAAAATTTTTTGGGTGCCACGCCCTAATTATGTTTTCCCGTAAAGGACATAAAAAATAGGGCGTATAGTAGGCAACAAAATTAAAAAAACGAAAAACTCAAAAGAAACGCATGTATTACATACAGCACAACACAATACATTATTATGTACAATGTACGTGGATATATTATAAAATTTACTTAACATATTTTAACTTCAAACTCAAACAAAATAAAAATCAAATAACAGCAAATAAATTTATTATTTATAGATTAATTTAAAACGGCGATTTGCTTTCAAATACTCTTTCAATACGTCATCATAAAAGTTTGTGGTTCGTTTTAATTCTTGTAAAAGTCCAGTTTCTAACGAAATTATTGTTAAATTATTCCACCTTGCCTGTCCTTGCGTATTCCTTATATACGTATGAATTCTTTTTAGGCCAGAAAAAGATCTTTCTGTTGAAGCACTACTGGCTGGGATGGTTCTGTAATAATATCGGCATTGGCAACACCGCATGCGGCGCAGATTGGACGGTCCCGACTGCTTTCGTGTGTTCATTGCTTGCCCACTAAATGTAATGTTAAGCTTCGGCGATGTGTTCGATTTTGAATATTGGGATGCGTTTTTTAGGTAATAATAAGACGTGGAACAGGTCGCGTTTGTTTTGTATGATGTTTCCAGCTTTGCAACCGTAATAAAGACTATACTAACTTACTATTTAGAAAAATAAAAATATGTAGGTCATTTTAAATAGGTATGTGGTAATGAATGAGCGTTGTTAGATAAATAGATTTTCAATTTATGTTTGTCTTGAATAAACGAAAGGGCAGGCGATGCTCTTTTGCACGCCACTGAGCGATAGAGAGATAGAGGAATAGAGCGATAGAGCCATTAGCTCCATCCAAGAAAGTAGACAGAAAAGTATGTGGGAATTACACTAACTCGGTAGGAAGGTTGTATGGTCAGAAGCGTATTGAACCGGAGTACCGGGACATTGAAAAACAGAGAGGCTTCTGAGCAGGAAGGTGCTGTAAAGACGATATATATATATACTCTTCAACAAAATTATTGAAAAACGCTGCTCATAACCTCACTACTCATCTTGAGAAAGTCTACGGCACGGTACCCTCAACACTTTTAGACACAAATAAAAATATTAGAGGTCTTCACAAGATGTACAAGAATCCACAGGGTGTAGTTAAGACCCAAAAGGGTCTTAAACAGGGATGTTGCCTTTCTTCTTGTTTAAAATTTTTATACAAAAAACATGGAGACATAAATGATCAGGTGTGGGAATTAAGGTTGGTGAACATTACTTATCAACATTATTCTTTGCTATAATTTAGAGGAAATGAAAGTGAATATGGCCAAAGCAGAATACTTAAGTCTAAGTAAAGAAGACGAGTTGACGCGAAGAGTACGTAGTATTATATCTAATAAAGGCCCATCTGTACAAGACACAACGCAGAATACTACAGAGATTTTAAATATCCCCAGGGGAAAAAATCCAGTGGAGTACTATTTGGATATCTTGCAGGGCATTCTATTTATCCACTTTTACTAATCCACTGCTAATTTTTTACACTAATTGTTTTTAAAACTTATTAAATCTTGGTCCAATGGGAATAACATGATTCCTTACTCAGTAGTTTAAGTTAGTTCTTCAATCAATTTATCGTCGTTATGAAATATAACATAATGTTTTCTTGCCTAGAAATAAAAAACAAATAGCAGACAATTATTAATATTTTTATTTTTAAATAATTATTGTTATACTTAACGTAATGTATTTTACAAAATAAGTACGATCCGCCATGTCGTCGACTTGCGCTTATTTTTTTTTTACTCGGATCACAGCCAATTGCCAGATCTAGATCGAGATCACCGAATTCAGTTTGCTAGATCCCATGATTCGTCACTATAGCGTAGGAATGTACAAAAGTTTTATGTACAAAACAAACCGGTCTAAAAGTTCACACAGTCCGTGGATTCTATTTTCTCTTTTCAAATTTGTGCCCTAAGTATACGGTTGTCGGTGCGAAATACTAATTAATCAAAATCTTCGGCGCCGAATGCGGCGAGATTTCACCCGGGCAGGATTTTCCTCACGAACAGGTACTCCGAGAATTGTTGGCCCTCGACCCCGCCCCCGTTGCTGGCCGCTATTTTGAATCCCGCGTTCAAAAGTCTCGTGATCACCTGCATCGAGTTTAGTTTGCAATAACCTGAAACGTGACGTGCCAAAAATTATTCACTACTCGCTTCCCGTGCAAAGGAAAATGGCTACCGTTCAAGGGAAATCGAATCACGTGATGTGCGTCTTGCTGATTCCAGGCCGCTCCGGTCCTGGCGTCCATGACCGCTTGGTTCGTCTCGGGGAACACCTAAAATTATGAATGAACTATAATCCAGCACACGATAAATGGTCATGACAAAATCGACATGACATCTCGTCGAACTTAAACGTTACAGCAAACATCGGTAAATATTAAAATTTGCCCAAATAATAGCGTCGTCGAATGATATTTTTTCAAATATCTCGCGCCCTGTATAATTGACGAAACCTGAAACTCTCTCACGACACGGTTTACGATACTGTTCAAAGAAAATTATCTCATCTTTAACGGGGTTTCATTTATCACCAATAATTTACCCACAAAAACGGAAATTTTTAGGATATTTTAGATTTTTTGACCACCCTGTATATAGCCCTGGATTTTCCACGCGTCCTGGTTCAAGAATTTTTTGAAAATAGTAAACGGTTTTCGAGAAAATAAGCTTTTTCTGAAACCATGCAGTGCGACGTAATAATCAATGACGTCATCGCGTCTTGGCAGCCCCCGAAATAACATTTCACACATTTCTCATTTAGCACGGAATATCGGGAACACCCTGTATAATAGGTGGAAACCTTAAATACAAAAGTTTTTCTATATATCCGGGCTATGTCGCAATATAAAAGAAAGTGAGATCTGAATCATAGTCTTTCAGTTATAACCAATGTTCAATAATAGGGAGATCCATTTTTCAGTTTTTTTGAATTTGCGGCGCACCCTGTATATTTTTGAAAAACTGTCACGAATAAAAGTTTATAGAGCCGTATCTTCTGCTTCTTCTGGTTCAAGAATTTTTTTGGTCTCGTAAGCAGTTTTTGAAAAATGATGTTTTTTGTAGACCCTTGCAAGGGCGATTTTTTATTTTTTTAGAATACTTTCCGACCCCCCGCCCCCCATTTTCAATAGGTTCCGTAACGGGGCAAAGCTGCATATATGTGATAAATATATGTAGTCGATTACTTCAAATTTCGGACACTTATCGCGTTTCATAGCAAGGTCCAAAAAACGGTCGAAAATCGCGAAAAAAAGATGGATACCGGAGTCGGCTCAGGACCATTTCTTATAAGCTTATGTGCCTCGTGGAGGGTTAAAAAGGAGGAAAATTTCAATTTTGTAGCTCCAACGGTTCGAAAGTTATTCAGGAAAAACCAAAAGACGAGAACGGAGAACGAAGAACGGACAGATAAAAAAAAAATTTTTTCGACGGTGATCATTTCTGTACCAACGGCGATCCTAGAGGACCTACCGTTACCGAGATATAAAATTTTTATATGAGCGCAGATACTTTCGAAAATTCGATTTCATCGATTTTCCAAACAAGAAGCCAATAACACACTTTAATGCACAATTTGGAGTCGCAGGGAAATGTATACGATGTATCAGAGTACAGGGTGACAGGACAGGATGACAACATTTTTCATCGAACTGTATTTTGAATGTACCCGTATCTGATAAAAAAGGCAATTCATTTTACACTGTTGCCACTTTCAGCAAAAAACATTAAATACTGCTCATAAGACTATCATCAGGACATGACGAGTGACCTTTTTGAAAATTGGGTAAACCATTCTCTTCTTCCAAATAGACGCCCAGCCAGGGGAAGAGAATTGCTTGGTTATCATAGCACATCACAGCAAAAAAGAGCTATTACAAGAGTTTCTTAGTCAGCATAATCTTTATTTTGAAGATACTTATAGAAAAAAGCAACTTCCTAACAAAATCCCAAATAATTCTAAGCACGGACCTGTACTGCCATATTTCATTCTTGCAGCTTGCCCGGGTTTTTCCTTAATTCGTATCAGTCACTTTCTTGTATCTATGAACAGACTTTACCTCATCCAATAAGGATCTATCCCCGGATAGCATAATCCTCTCCCCTAGATCCGGACTGACGTGCAGAGCTACGCACTCGTACAACTCTTGACCGGACGAATGCCTCAAAGGTCGATCCAAACTACCTCCGTGGTACCGACCACTGGCCGTGTGCAACCCCTTACCAGTAGCAGCAGCAACGATACCGTTCTTGGTTCGATCTTTCTTCATCTGCTCCAGTTGTCTGATCATCGCTGATAACGGTCGAGCTATTAATTGCGTCGCTTTGGAGAATTTCGAATATACTTACGAGGAATGTCGAAGTACCGCGCCTCTTCGAGCAACAAGTCGAGGTCTTGGAAGTTCTCGGGTATTAAAAGCTTCGAGTTGCGCATAAAGTTTAAAATGTGCCTGAACATCCCCCCGTCTCGGTCGATGAAGTAGTGTTGTTTCAGCGAGTCCAGGACTATAGGTATGCTTCCGTTGAAGAGTTTGGCGAGTCTGGATTCTGGAAATCTGCAACGATAGTTCAGAATCAGTGGCGCACTCTATCGACGTAAGAGTAAATTACTCGCCAAAGTGAAAATAAAATTTGTTTAATAAATGTTGGTAGACCTTCTTCGTTGGAAATAACGTGAAACATAAATTTAGAAAAAAATATTTGTAATAAATCGGCTTATTAAATTAATTAAATTAAAACGTAAAAAGTAATTCAATAATAAGGGGTGTTTTTTTTCGATGTATAGAACTTTAAGTTGCAATAAAACCACCATGGATTATTCGATTGACATGAATTTTATTTATCCGAAAGATAATCTTGTGGCATTACATTTTAAATATGATTTCTGGCTGTCGCGGATGTAGTCCAATCTGGACATCCAATTTTCGATGACTTTTTCCAACATTTGTGGCCGTATATCGGCCATAACACGGCGAATGTTGTCTTCCAAATGGTCAAGCGTTTGTGGCTTATCCGATGACTTTACATAGCCCCACAGAAAGTAGTCTAGAGGTGTTAAATCACAAGATCTTGGAGGCCAATTCACAGATCCAAAACGTGAAATTAGGCGGTCACCAAACGTGTCTTTCAATAAATCGATTGTGGCACGAGCTGTGTGACATGTTGCGCCGTCTTGTTGAAACCACATCTCCTGGACATCACGGTTATTCAATTCAGGAATGAAAGAGTTAGTAATCATAGCTCTATACCGATCACCATTGACTGAAACGTTCTGGCCATCAATCGTTTTTGAAGAAGTACGGACCAATGATTCCACCAGTCCATAAAGCGCATTAAACAGTCAGTTTTTCTGGATGTAACGGTGTTTCGACATACACTTGAGGATTAGCTTCGCTCCAAATGCGGCAGTTTTGTTTGTTGACGTAGCCATTCAACCAGAATTGCGCTTCATCGCTAAACAAAATTCGCTTATGAAAATCGGGAACAACGGCAATCTCGTTTTGGGTCCAGCCGACGAATCTACGCCTTACTTGATGACGGGTTGGCTTCAATTCTTGTACGAGTTGGATTTTGTAAGCACGTAAACCAAGATCCTTCAGCAAAATCTTCCATAAAGTGGTTGGACAAAGATCTAATTCCTGTGCTCGATGGCGGATGGACTCATTCTGGTCTTCCCCAATGCTACGCTCTACAGTTCTACGTTCTCTTCTGTACGCACCGTACGGCGTCTCTGGGGATGCGAGTTATCAATAAGTGTAAACGTGGTGCGAAAACGTTCCATGGTTAATCGAATTAACTGCTCTGATGGACGATTTTGTCGAAGATAAAATTGACGTAGTGCGCGATACGCACAGAACCATTATTTACGAAATAAAATTGCACTATTTCATGATGAATTGCCAAACCAAACTGAGAATAAATCACTTGACAGCTGTTAAATCGGTCGCCATCTTGAACAGTAATGCCAACTTAAAATTCTACACATCGAAAAAAAACACCCATTACTAAAATCAAAATTACAATTTTTTAATGGTTCTTGAACCTAGCAGTTTTTAAATTAAAAAATAAAACGTAAAAAAAGTTGTTGATCGATATTGAAATTTAATTGGGAATAATAATGATAATGGTAGTCCATAATTCCCTATCTATTCATTCAAGAAAAGTGAGAAAATATGTCGAAAGAGTGTTTTGTAGCCTAATTGATGGGACAGCGAATTTGGAAAGCAGCATTTTTTACCTAGACAGAATAACTCTTTTCCAGATGCAACTAAACGAGTCTGAACTGCAGAACGTAAACATGAATTGTGCAATATAATCATTATGCCCAGAATTTGAACTTTCTTGAGAATTACGAGGTTAGCGCCAAAATTTCCCGGCCTGACATAAACGCAGCTCCAGTATCACGATAAAACTTTGTCTTCTTTTACATATATATCTTAGCAGGCTGCGGAAAAAAAAATGAAGTCTTGCGTCAAATAGTTTTTTATTGACAGCATTTTAAATAAGACCTGTCCGAAAAAATGTCGCAAATAACGCAAATTGAGTATAAAGCAGTCATAAAGTTTTTGACAAAAGAAGGGTTACCACCTAAAATTATTAAAGAAAGGTTGGATGGTGTGTACGGCCAAAGTTCTCCTTCGTATTTTGTAGTGAAAAAATGGACAAAACGTTTCCGAATGGGGCAGCAGTCCCTTGAAGATGATTCAAGAACTAGTCGAACAGTGGAGATCATAACGGAAGATATTGTTGCGATTGTGGAAGAGGTGGTATTGAGTGATCGACGTCAAAGAAACCTCGGAAATTACTAAGCTTTCTGATACAAGTGTTCGTCGAATCCTGCATGATCATTTAGGTATGCATAAGGTTAGTGCAAGACGGGTTTCTAAAAACCTTTCGGCTATTTACAAACAACGACGTGTCGAGTGTGCGCGGTCTTTTTTGGAACTCTGTGGGTCGGAACCGAAACCTGTGATAGAAACTACTGTAACGGGAGATGAAACTATGGTTCTCTATTATGGCCCTCTATCGAAAGAAAATTCAGAGTCTGCCAGTCAACAAAAAAGGTGATGTCCATGATGTTTTCGGATTGTGAAGGAATTTTTTTGATAGATTTTAAAGAAACTAGTACCACTGTCAATTATAAACATTACGCAACATTATTACATTAAATGCCAGACTGCATAAAAAAAATGAAAAAATCATTGTCGTTACTTTACACCTGTCATTGCCAGTTTTGGTTACGTGTCTGGCAGAAAATATTCGTCAAAATTGACATTGATTTGTTGTGACTATAAATTTAACTGTATTTGTTGACGAAACGTGGGTCATGTTTATGTCTCCAAGTTCTAAAAAAACTAGTGAAGGTCTTCGATATATTGTAGATTATCTTGGGAATATGAATAAATCAGTTATTACCAAATCTTCCTCCAAAAAATTTGATAGTGATGGACAATGCACGTACGCTTTTTAGAGGATATTCTAAGAAAATCAAGGACCAAGCAGAGGTTGATTGGATGATGGAAAGAAAAGAACATTAACTTCCCAGTGAGAGCATGAAATGATGAAATATGGCTCAGTGTTAAAACATCGAAAAAAAATTCTACCTGGATGAATATGTGAAATCTATAGGCTATATATACTATATATACTAGACTTCCTCCATACCATTGTCAGATTAATGCTACTGAAATGGGATGGTCTGAGTGTAAGAGGAAATACGATCAATATGTGGGAAAAGCGATAAATGAAGCATCTTCATAGCACAGGCAAAATTACAGAATGGAAAATCCAAGAACTTGGAAGGCAATACAGATTTGTGATGCTCCAGAGATGGTGCCATTTGTAATTGGTACCGAAGAGGACGATAACGATTAAAAGGAAGACGTCTTTCAATTTAGTTCGGATTCTGAAGACAGTGAAGGGATGTATTTTTTTTTGTTTTTGTTTAAAGTATTATCTGTAATTGAGAATTAATATGATTATGATAAAAATAGGTAACTGTCGCCAATTTATTATGGTTAACAATGCAGATAGCTAAACAAATCAGTCTATTCACTTCGCAGACTACGACGATATCTGTTGTTAAACAAAATTCTTTTTAAAAAATTAATCTCCGTGGAAAAGGGCACCGCTCTCCTCGTGGCGTACATTTTCCGCGATCCGGATCTCCCCCAGAATACCATCCAATTCGAATTTAATCCGCTGATTTTCCAATTCCAACTCGTCTATCTTAACCGTCATTATTTCTTCCTCGTTACCCAACAAACCACTCTTGGCTTCTTCCTTAATTTGAGGGGCTACATTTTCATCTTCTTGTGGCACGGTATTGCCCTGTGGTTCCAGGATTTCTTCACTCAACACTTTTTGCTCTGCGCGGAGGTGACCCATTTCCTCTTTCTCCTCGGAAACCGTGGCAAGAGTTAGCTTAGCCCCTTCTAAATGATTAGCAGGACTTTCATCTAGTGATTGCTCCAAATGGGTCTCGTCGGGAACACCAGAGCTCGATTCCTTTAGATTCATCATGTTCACTATTAACACGGCCTTCCGAATCTCCATTTCGTCGATCAGGTATTTCAGCCGACCGTCTCGGGTGACGCTGTGCAGTTTACTCACCTCCTGCGCGGACCGGAGCAAAATAGATCTGAGCTCTTGCAAGAGAACGTCCCTTCGCCTTTCCAAGCTCGATATCTTCACCTCGATCACCGCGTTCTCGGTCGGTACGGACAGAGGAAGCGACGCCTTTGATTTTTCCAACTCGTTCAGCAATTTGCTCTTCAAATTCTTCACCCCGGCCATCCGATCGACGATCTCGCTGCAACTAAGTGAGGTACCCTGACGTTCCGATATCGCTAGTTCGTGCTCCAGTCTGGATCGCGTCTCCGCGAGTTCGCTGTCCTGCTCGACCGCTTCTTTCAGCAAAGCGATTTCCTCGATCAGTTTTCCCTTTTCTTTCAGCAACTGTTCGTCTTCGACTTTTAACCGCTCGATCGCGAGGCAGTCCGTCTGGATGTGCTCCAGAGCGTTGGCGAGCGTTTGCTCGGAACATTCCGAATTCTGCTCGACCAGATACGATTCCAATTCCTCTCGCAGTTGCAGTTTCTGACTCTCCAACTCTTCGACGGCCATTTTTAAACACTTCGATTCGTTTTCCAGCCTCGCGATTTGCGCGACGTCATCGCCGACGAGCTCGAGCGTCGAATCGAGCAGATTTCTCAGCTTCAGGTTCTGGTTTGCGAGGCTCTTTATCGTTTTCGCGAGCACCTCGGACATTTTTGACGGCGGATTTTGACTTTTGCGATGACGACGTGACGCTTCGAAATTAAATTAAAAATTTTCACGATGCGATGGAAATCAGGGACGCGATACCGGAAACCAAGCGCAGGATACGCACTTTGCAGGTTCAAAACCGCAAGTTCGAGAAGTTGCTAGAGAAAGCTCGCGACGTGGTGCTGAACTCGACTGCCAGCGTAGAAGAGCTGCGGTTCGTAAGGCAAATCATCGAGACGGTCGACGAAGAGAAGGAAAACCTGAAAAAGGACTTGTCGGATGAATCGCG